GTCTGCTATAGAGTGAAAACCGTTTAGGAAAAGGCCGTTATAGAAATATGGAACTGTACATTCATAGTAATGCATAAATATAAATAGGAAAAAATTATATGGGACGTCATCTGAGAAAATCAGTCAATTTTTTTTGTCATTTTTGAGACAATAATGCAATTATATGTAATTTGAGGCAAGGAATCTTTTCAGCTTAGAAATATAGCCATATTTACTTATGTCAAAAAAAATTTTGACTGATTTTCACAGATTGACGTTCCATATATATATAAATGTCAAGGGTAACATTGCACAATGCGTGATGCATCACGCATTGTGCAATTATCCCAACCAATTAAGGTTTTTCATTGATTTACTAAAGGATTTATATAGTAAAGATTATCCATTAATTACCCTATCTCATCTAATATGTTCCGTTGTTAACGCAATAAGAATTCCTCATTTATTATATGGCGGGACATATATTGCAACAAAATGAACACCATGTAACACAGAATTACAGGTTTTGTAATTAGTAACATTACCGGGTAAGTTTTAATTTGATAGGTGATAAAAAAACACGAAATTATAAAATTTGCTTTTTAATTGAACTTACATTAATCAATCTTTTGATAATTAATAAAGACCTTTTCCTATAATTGTTATATTCGTTATCTTCTAATAAAACAGCTCTTTAACAAGTTCTGAGTCGTGAGATAGTGGAAATGGCGATGTTTACGATGGTGATGGCAATGATGATAATGATTCTTTCTAAGATAATAACAATTGATTCACACTATGTACATTATAAAAAAATTAAAGATCAGTCGATGAGAATACAATGATGACTACATCTGGAAAATAAATCTCACATAAACCTACACAGGGTTTAAAGCTGACCAGCATTATGCGGAAATGTTAACAGAATTACCAAAATATCAACATATGCTGGCCAATTCTGAACCCTATGTAGGTTTACGTAAGATTTATTTTCCTGATGTATGTTCAAAGAACTGGAATGACAAGTTGTGGTTCAATAATCACACTATTTTTTCTAGGAGAGCATCTCTCTTCTAACAATACTCACATAGTAGTCACTTCTGTAGTTTTTTTTCCCATTTGGCTTTTTGTGTCGTATTTTTATTTTAATTTTTTTTTTTTGAAAAAAAAAGAAATTATCAAAGGAAAATTAGGCACTAAAGAAAGTAATTTTTACCATCAATAAAAATAATGTTATTATTGTATGATTTAAAAAGATATGTTGTTTAATAACCAGACTCTCTCATATGGAAAAATATATGTGTTTGGACAATTCGGAAACACCAAACAATTCAATATGCAATATTTGCATTTGATATTAGATGGAACCTTTTAGATGTTGAAGTTTGTTATTACTCGGG